GGTGTGTCAAGCTCTATTGTGGGTGTGTCAAAAACTCACAAGGAGGTATCATCTGCCTGGTGTGTCAAGCTCTATTGTGGGTGTGTCAGAAACTCACAAGGAGGTATCATCTGCCTGGTGTGTCAAGCTCTATTGTGAGGGGTGTGTCAGAAACTCACAAGGAGGTATCATCTGCCTGGTGTGTCAAGCTCTATTGTGAGGGGTGTGTCAGAAACTCACAAGGAGGCATCATCTGCCTGGTGTGGCAAGGACTCTAGTGTGGGTGTGTCAAAAACTCACAAGGAGGCATCATCTGCCTGGTGTGGCAAGGACTCTAGTGTGAGGATGAAAGCAGCCTGGTGTGGCAAGGACTCTAGTGTGGGGATGAAAGCAGCCTGGTGTGGCAAGGACTCTAGTGTGAGGATGAAAGCAGTCTGATACGTCAAGGAGTGTAATAAAAAAAAGAATTATGCCATTGAAATCTTCACCTTTCACACCGGCAGTAAAATTTTCCCTGTTGATAATTTAATAATTTATACCCCCGACTGTAGCAAGGAATTTCCAACATTGTTGATTCAGCAAACTTTCGTCAAGTTATTTTCTGGTTTTTTTAAGTTTTCGATTATATAACATCAAGTAATTTACAACAAACATCTGAAATTATTAAATGTCATTTTTTTTCTCCAATTGTAACTATTCTGGGATTGATTTTGCATCTTGAGGAGGTGCACTGATCAGTTCCATTTAATAAGGTGGAACTTTCTCCACTGTTATCTTGAGGTTATCTTGAGATGATTTCGGGGCTTTAGTGTCCCCGCGGCCCGGTCCTCGACCAGGCCTCCACCCCCAGGAAGCAGCCCGTGACAGCTGACTAACACCCAGGTACCTATTTTACTGCTAGGTAACAGGGGCATAGGGTGAAAGAAACTTTGCCCAGTGTTTCTCGCCGGCGCCTGGGATCGAACCCAGGACCACAGGATCACAAGTCCCGCGTGCTGTCCGCTCGGCCGACCGGCTCCCTGTGGAACTAAATGTATCATGACTGCCTTACGGGTGGTACCTCTCAAGATATATTTGAAAACAAAGCTTTAGAATGTTTTTTGCATGTAATTTAATGTATTAAATTAAATGTAATGTATTAAATTAAATAAAAATAATTTAATGTATTAAATTAAATAAATATAATTTAATGTATTAAATTACATATTTTCAACTAGCCCATCAGGAGGAAAGACGAGTCAACATATTAATCTAAATTTCTATATATAACACTTAACGAATTAATTAAAAACAGGTTATGGAACTAAATCAAAAGTGAAGTGATTTCAAAGACATTTGTTCAGCTGTGTCTGGGTACAAGTGATAGAATGAACAACTCAACGAAGTGTTCATCGTGTTCTGGGGGGACGTGTTGAGCACACACACTGCTACGGCGGTATGTTCACTCAAAGAATGAGTTATGCTGCCTAATGAACTCAACTATTGATGCAAAGTTTAAAAAGTAACATTCCTGCTAACTCTAAGAATTCGTTCCGTAGAGGCTCTCGTTTCGTAGAGGCTTCGTATAGGCTCTACCGTGAATTGGTTAAGACCTGCATGATGATCTTAAGTCCCTGCAGAGACTCCCTCTTGAATAGCCGGGGCTGCTAGTAACTCTTAAGAGTGCACGGAGAGCTATAAAAAAAGTACTACAAGGCCCCCTTGCATGATCACTTGCTGGGGGAAGGTGGTCTCCACACACACACACACACACACACACACACACACACACACACACACACACACACACACACACACACACACACACACACACACACGCACACACGCACACACGCACACACGCACACACGCACACGCGCACACACACACACACACACACACACGCGTCATGAGAAGGGCAGAGCGTACGAATTGAGGATAATGATGCATTTAGAATGCTGCCTAGACATAACCCAGATGCTAGGGTTAATGCTCTCCCCACCGGCTCCTCCGCCACACACACACACACACACACACACACACACACACACACTTATAAGTGTGTTTTTGCTGCGAATTTCCATAGAAGTGTACATGTGAATATATCTGGTTAACAAGCAGCTTTCTCAGGTACCTAAAAGAAAAATTGTGTTTAATACAGTTGTTGAATTGTGAGGGAATATAGAGTTAAATTTGTAATTTGCGACGTACGTGTGTGTGTGTGTATACTCACCTAATTGTGCTTGCGGGGGTTGAGCTCTGGCTTTTTGGTCCCGCCTCTCAACCGTCAATCAACAGGTGTACAGGTTCCTGAGCCTATTGGGCTCTATCATCTCTACATTTGAAACTGTGTATGGAGTCAGCCTCCATCACATCACTTCCTAATGCATTTCATTTGTCAACCACTCTGACACTAAAAAGTTCTTTCTAATATCTCTGTGGTTCATTAGGGCTCTCAGTTTAAACCTGTGCCCCTTGTGTTAAATAGACTGTCTTTATCTACTCTATCAATTCCCTTGAGAATCTTGAATGTGGTGATCATGTCCCCCCTAACTTTTCTCTCTTCCAGCGAAGTGAGGTTTAATTCCCGTAGTCTCTCCTCGTAGCTCATACCTCTTAGCTCGGGTACTAGTCTGGTGGCAAACCTTTGAATCTTTTCCAGTTTGGTCTTATCCTTGACTAGATATGGACTCCATGCTGGGGCTGAATACTCCAGGATTGGCTTAACATATGTAGTATACAAAATTCTTTGAAAATGTAATAAGTAATTACGAAACGCGTTCAGGCGTCGCGTCAGACTAGAAATAAAAATGAATTTAGGAGAATTGATTTTTCAATTACCATCGACAGTGAAAAGAAACATAAGAAATATTGAGAAAATTCGTGTTAGAATGATCAATCTTACCTTTTCGGTCATATTTAACAACATAAGTTTTCAAGAAAGTCTGCTACCAAAATTTACTAATATATATATATATATATATATATATATATATATATATAATATATATATATATATATATATATATATATATATATATTAATATATATATAGAGCAACAACTTCTTACAAGAATTAGTCACTGTTGATGCTCGTTATTCTAACGGAAATATCCGTGCACATTAAGTCTGACCGACACTAACTATGATGTACGACCAATTGCCTTTATGTATCCGTGCGTGGTGGCTATATCAATGCTCTATTGCCATCGTTTAGTATCGCTGTTTCTATCTGGAATTGTTATCAGCACGACGGATGCATGACAATGAGATAAGCCGGTATTATGGACTCCTCAGAGCTCGTCTGTGGTGGATGGTCCTTTTTTTTTTTTTTTTTTTTTTTTAGATATATACAAGAGTTGTTACATTCTTGTACAGCCACTAGTACGCGTAGCGTTTCGGGCAAGTCCTTAATCCTATGGTCCCTGGAATACGATCCCCTGCCGCGAAGAATCGTTTTTTCATCCAAGTACACATTTACTGTTGCGTTAAACAGAGGCTACAGTTAAGGAATTGCGCCCAGTAAATCCTCCCCGGCCAGGATACGAACCCATGACATAGCGCTCGCGGAACGCCAGGCGAGTGTCTTACCACTACACCACGGAGACTGCTCAAATATTTATATAAAATATATAAATACCTAAGTGCAGATTTTTCATCCTAGGTTATCTTGAGATTATTTTTTTATTTTTCTTGAGGTTATCTTGAGATTATTTCGGGGCATTAGTGTCCCCGCGGCCCGGTCCTCGACCAGGCCTCCACACCCAGGAAGCAGCCCGTGACAGCTGACTAACACCCAGGTACCTATTTTGCTGCTAGGTAACAGGGGCATAGGGTGAAAGAAACTCTGCCCATTGTTTCTCTCGGCGGCCCCGGGATCGAACCCGGGACCACAGGATCACAAGTCCAGCGTGCTGTCCGCTCGCCGACCGGCTCCCAATGTCAATGGTTAATGGTTAATATGTCTGTGATAAGACATTAATTACCATTGCTTATTCTCACTATAAAGAGCAATGCTAGAGCTTTATTTGTGGGATAATAAGTGATGTTGGAGTATTATCCTCGGGAGTATTATCCTCAGGATAATACATGATGCTGTGGCCATGTACTCATCATATTAAGTGATGTGGCAAATCTTATCAGCATAAAAAAGTAAAAAAAAAAGATGCTGGAGCAATGTTCTCAAGATGATAAGAGATTCTTATTGCAATATTCTCAAGATGATAAGAGATTCTTATTGCAATATTCTCAGCCTATTACTTAGTTGTTGATGGTTGGCATCAGGTCGACCGGGCTTGTGAGGCAAAACCTTAATTATCTTACATTAAGATCTTGCTTGCAAGATGCCTTTACTACGAGTTGAACATATTCAAGCAATATTTTATATAAAGTTGATAAATGATCATTGAAGGAAGTTGTTATCTATTCGGAGGAACACTTGAGTGGACAGACAAAGTCTTGCCTCTCTTCATGGGGTCGTAGTGTCCATTTGTGTTGCACTGTTAAACTTTTTGAGGGAATTAAACCTCACGTCACTGGAAGACAGAGGAGTTAGAGGAGATATGATCACCACATAAAAGATTCTCAAAGGAATTGATAGGGTAGTTAAAGACAGATTATTTAACCCAATGGACACACGTACTAGGGGACATAGATAGAAACTGAGTGCCCAAATGAGGCACAGAGACATTAGAAAGAATTTTGTTACTGTCAGAGTAGTTAACAAATCGAATGCATTAGGAAATGATGTGGTGGAGGCTGACTCCATACACATTTTTAAGTGTAGATATGATAGAGCCCAGTAGGCTAAGGAACCTGTACACTAATTGATTGACAGTTGAGAGGCGGGACCAAAGAGCCAGAGCTCAACCCCGCAAGCCCAACTAGGCGAGTACACAGATCTTTTAAATGTAAATTACGATAAGATAAACGAGTAAACGTAGTGACTGCATTGAACTAATGTTGGTCGAAAGGCTGGGTTTAAGAACAGATGCTCGACCTTGCAAGCACATCTAGACGAGTGCACACCGGTGCAAGGCCGAATGGCGAGGGCCGCCCCCATGGGCCACACCTCCACCGTCGAGGGCCGCCCCCATGGGCCACACCCCCACCGTCGAGAGCCGCCCCCATGGGCCACACCCCCACCGTCGAGGGCCGCCCCCATGGGCCACACCCCCACCGTCGAGAGCCGCCCCCATGGGCCACACCCCCACCGTCGAGAGCCGCCCCCATGGGCCACACCCCCACCGTCGAGGGCCGCCCCCATGGGCCACACCCCCACCGTCGAGGGCCGCCCCCATGGGCCACACCCCCACCGTCGAGGGCCGCCCCCATGGGCCACACCCCCACCGTCGAGGGCCGCCCCCCATGCCACACCCCACCGTCGATGGCCACCCCCATGGGCCACACCTCAACCGTCGAGGGCCGCCCCCATGGGCCACACCCCCACCGTCGAGGGGCCCGCCCCCATGGCCCACCCCCCCACCGTCGAGGGCTGCCCCCATGGGCCACACCCCCACCGTCGAGGGGCCGCCCCCATGGGCCACACCCCCGTCGAGGGCCGTCCCCATGGGCCACACCCCCACCGTCGAGAGCCGCCCCCATGGGCCACACCCCTACCGTCGAGGGCCGCCCCCATGGGCCACACCTCCATAAACACTACACAGGTACCCTCAAGGCACCAAGATAAGCAGGAGGCAGCCCCCCCCCCCCAACACAGCCAGCCTGACTCCCGTCTCGCTACACCAAGCAAACCTTATTACACATATAATAATACAAATATATGCAGATCCATTCTAAATTGTACTTATCATTGTGGGTCCACTCGTGCGCTTCTCCTGTTCCCTGCAGGTCTCTGATTGGGGTTACTGAGTGAGGGAGGGGTGAGAGAGGGGTGAGGGAGGGGTGAGGGAGGGGTGAGGGAGGGGTGAGGGAGGGGTGAGGGAGGGGTGAGGAGGGGTGAGGGAGAGGTGAGAGAGGGGTGAGGGAGGGGTGAGGGAAGGTGATGGGGGAAGGGTGAGAGAGGGGTGAGGAGGGGTGAGGGGAGGGGTGAGGGAGGGGTGAGGGAGGGGTGAGGGAGGGGGTGAGGGGAGGGTGATGAGGGGGTGAGGGAGGGGTGGGAGGGAAGGGTGAGAGAGGGGTGAGAGAGGGGTGAGGGAGTTTAGGGAGGAGTGAGAGAGGGGTGAGGGGTGGGTGAGGGAGGGGTGAGGGAGGAGTGAGGGGGAAGAGTAAGAATGTGAGGGGAAAGAGGGAAGGTGTGAGAGTATAATTGGATTGGTGTATGACAAGGAATTCTCATCTAAATATACTTTTCTGTATAATGAGTCATCTTCATTAACTATTGTATCTAATCCATTCAACTTAATTAAAATTATTATTCTGAAGGAGGTTCTTCTGACGTGTCACTAATTCCCGTCTATGAACCCTCCTCCTCCTGCTGTTCGTGGACTTGAATTTGCATTATACGTCCACTTTTTCAATTCCCCCTTAGAATCTTTAATGTCGCTATCATGTCCCAGTTTTTTCAGTCTTTCCTCACATCACAGGAAGGAGCCTTGTCACCTATCTTCAGATCTTTCTAAGTTTAGTTTAAAGTATTATTGGCAATGGGGTTCAGTACAAGGGGGCTGTATATTCAAGAGAGAGAGAGAGTGAGATAGGGATGGTGAGTGTGAGAAGACGAGGTGTGAGTGAGTGAGTGAGTGAGGGAGGGGACGAGGGATGAAAGCATGAGGTGTTTCTATGTAACACTTAATCCAGGAAGAATAAAGATACGCATCTTTAAGGAAACCAAGATTAGAGCAAGTGTGAGATAACGAAGAAGTTCCTTTGAGGAAATGAGGCACAGGTGTGGGGGGGGGGGGGTAGGGAAAGTGACGTATGAGTTTGAGGTCAGAGAGGAGAGAAGAGGGGGGGGCATGGGGGGATGGTGGGGGGGGGGTCGTATCAGGAATAAGAGGATAAGGAGGAAGGGGGAGGGAGGGAATGGAGGGGGGGGGGTACCAAACAAGCTAACTCCCAGTTGGCTGTCGCGTAAACACAGCGGTTTATTACCTAACAATAAATTGGCTCTCAGGAGTCTTGCTCTTGCAAGTTCCTCGCCCAGCGGGACGCCGGCCGCCGCGCTCAAGTTCTCATCCTATTTTCCTTTGGAATTAATGAGAATAATATTATTATTATTATTATTATCATTAGATGTTTTTTTCCATTTAAACTCGAGTCTTCGTCTCTATATACAGGAAAGCAAATCTGATAAGGCTTTGAAGGACATTAGAGAAATGTAGATAAACTGCAACATTTTATTTGAAAGTAATTCTTTACCTGTAATTCATTTACTGATTATATTATATAAAATCTCATGAAGTTATATTTTAAAAATAAACTGATAAATATTATATATATATATATAACTGAAAACTCCCACCCCAGGAGTGTCTCGAACCCATACTGCCAGGAGCACTATGCAACTGGTGTACAGGGCACCTAATCCACTCCACCATCACGACCGGACAAAATCTGATGGTAGTCGAGGCTATTTGCCCATCAGCCCGCCGGCACTCTGATGGTAATCTTGGGCATAGTATTTTATCAAATCACCTCATTCTTTGGGGCACATGTGAAGAACAGAAATGCGAACAAGCCTGAATGGTCCCCAGGCATAAGGACCCAGACATGGTCTTTCTGGGGTGTGAGTTTTCAGTTGCATGTATGCCTGGGGACCATTCAGGCTTTAATGACGATTAAATGATGATGATGATGATTAAATGATAATGATGATGGCAGCATAAATGACAAAACTGGCTCCACATTGGCACCCCCAATACATATGACAATGATAATTCTCGATTGAACTTGATTGTGAAATGATAAAAGTAAAAATATTGTCCTGGTACAAATAACTATTAGACGTCTCATCAAGAGAATACAATGAACACACCACCTACATCATCATTATAGGTATATAATCATCATTAAAGACGTATATATTCATCATTAAAGACGTATATATTCATCATTAAGACGTATATATTCATCATTAAAGACGTATATATTCATCATTAAAGACGTATATATTCATCATTAAAGACGTATATATTCATCATTAAAGACGTATATATTCATCATTAAAGACAGACACTGATAAACGCCCCTGTGATCGAGAGATAGATTTTAAATGTTGAGTTATAACCTGTTTTATCGCATTTAAACAAGTCCTTCGAAAGGGGGGTGGGGGGGCCAGCGCCTATGCTCATGGAAGGAAGCTGATGTCATTCTTATATCCTAACCACTTCCTATATCACTCCTGTACAACATCTTTGGAGATCCTGATGCCAACTTCTTGTATTCGCAGACCTATAGAAAGTGTTTGAATAAGCCGGCTCAAGTGGTGTTCTTTAATCAGGTCTTTACCAGTCTCCGTGGTGCAGTGGTAAGACACTCGCCTGGCGTTCCACGAGCGCTGTCATGGGTTCGTATCCTGGCCGGGGAGGATTTACTGGGCGCAATTCCTTAACTGTAGCCTGTGTTTAACGCAACAGTAAAATGTGTACTTGGTTGTAACAACAATTCTTCGCGGCGGGGATCGTATTCCAGGGACCTGCCCGAAACGCTACGCGTACTAGTGGCTGTACAAGAATGTAACAACTCTTGTATATATCTCAAAACAAAAAAAAATCGTTCAAAAGTGTTTTTAAGATGAACAAATCCACAAGGGCCGTGATGAGGATTCGAACCTGCGTCCGAGAGCATCCCAGACGCTGCCTTAATCGACTGAGCTACGACATGGTAATGAGGAGTTGAAACCGAAGTTCTACTGAACTGCTTGTAAGATAACTCTATTGAGATATTATTTCCTAATAGAAGAAAAGTCAGAGTACAATATTAAGTATAATATCCATAATATATGGCACCCGTGATCCAGGTGGACTTGTGATCCTGTGGTCCCGGGTTCGATCCCGGGCGCCGGCGAGAAACAATGGGCAGAGTTTCTTTCACCCTATGCCCCTGTTACCTAGCAGTAAAATAGGTACCTGGGTGTTAGTCAGCTGTCACGGGCTGCTTCCTGGGGGTGGAGGCCTGGTCGAGGACCGGGCCGCGGGGACACTAAAGCCCCGAAATCATCTCAAGATAACCCGATATCTTGTTCAAGTGTTGGCCAAGATCAAGCTACGATTATACACAAATCTCATCTGCTTCGTCGAAGACCTCCACTTCTGGCTAGTGAAGTGACTGCCATTCAAAAAGCCCAATTAATACGTTATCAGTAATATCAAAATTGTCTACAATTACGTCCTATAATTCCCACAGATGAAACAAGAGCTTTCTACTGTGCCTATCCCAACTCAGAACTCGCCATTCAAGGTTTAAACCTGGATTGGAGAGCAGTTTAGCTACGCTTATCCAATCGGGGGCATTGATGCCCCGTGCCACCTCTCGGGTGGCTTAATCTTCATCAATCAATCAATCAGCTGCCTGCTTCAGAGATGGTACCAGGTAGAGGTACCTAGGGTACAGACACGTGCACAGGTACCTAGGGCACGGACATCACCAGGGGGAGTGAAGAAGACAAGGTCAGTGGCTACCCATACTCCTTGAAAGATTAGAATCAAGACGAAAATCATATTAGTACAAATCTTGTGGTTGACCTAAAAAGTATATTTATGCAATATATCACATATCTATACAGTATACCACATACGTATATGTGGTCCCCATGGCGCAGTGATAAACACACCCTGCACTTCACGAGCGCTTTGGTCTGGGTTCGTATCCTGGCCGGGATAAGGATTGACTGGGCACCAATCCAAAATTGTAGCCTCTATTCACCCAGCAATAAATGGGTACCTGGTTGTTAATCGATTTGGCAGGTCGTATTCCGGGGAAAATTAGGATTAAGAACCTGCCCGAAACGCTACATGTGTAAATGGCTTTACAAAAATATATCGACTCTTGTATATTAACAAACTCTTCTGTCCTCCATGGACAGGGTTAGAGCAATTGACAAATCAATCACAGAAGGTGATTGCAGTGCTTTAACAATGTTACCGGCATGCCTACAATTTCAGCAGGGCATTTGTAAAGTGTAAATGCCCTCCGGGGCATTTACAGTTGCCCCCAGAGGGCACGAGATTAGTGGGTGGTGGTGGTGAGAAGGGAAGGTCGTGTTGATCCGTGGGGACCTCTCAATTTCTGGAGGGAGACACCACTTAGGGGGACATAATGGTACATAATAGCAGGTGGGCGCGTGTGTACACACACACACACACACACACACACACGCACGCAGGAGACATACACACACACACACAAAAGGCGAGGTGTGGTCAACAGGCTCTGGTCTCCTGTCGCCTCTTTCCTCAAAACCGTGAAAGTGTCGGGTGGTCGGGAGGGGGTGGGCAGTGGGAGAGGGGAGGGCAGGGGAGAGGGCAGGGGGAGGGGCAGGGGAGAAGGCAGGGGAGAGGGCAGGGGAGAAGGCAGGGGACTGGGCAAGGCTGGGGAGGGCAGGGGGAAAAGGGCGCGACAATTTACGGTTGGTGTCGTGTTAGTCAAGGTTCGTGTCCAGTACCTTCCGGCCACGCCCGCCTCGACCCTCTTCGTCCCCCACCAAACTAAACAAAATACTGTACCTTACCTTGAGGTTACCTTGCGATGATTTCGGGGCTTTGCGTCCCCGCGGCCCGGTCCTCGACCAGGCCTCCTGGTTGCTGGACTGATTAGCCAAGATAGTCAAAAAACTTTATAAACCCAAACGAAAATATTACTCAAACTTAATACATTTGGAAAGAAACTCAAGATATCATGATTAGTCATCACTCATCACACCCTGATGAGTGGTGATCATAAACATTGCTCATAAACATTAGCTAAATGCTCGTTCATTCAGTCGCCAAACCCGTTGTTTATGGATGAAAAACGGTATACATACGACTCACAACTGCTGACGTTCGAACATATCCGGAACAAGTGCTTCACTGACGACTTCTGTTCGAACCACAACGCTGTAAATGCTTCACCAGCATTCTACAAATACCAATAATAGCCAACAGAGCTCAAACACCTAACCTAACCTATCCTATGCCTATATATACACAATATGCTAATAACAATATTAATTTACATTTTAGCAAATTCCTATTTTGAATGAGTAGCACGTTTAAATTGATGAATGAATATTTTGAGGTCGACCGCTGGATGGAATGGTCTTGGTCTGAGTATTTGATTTTTGTTGATGAGGACGGGCTGGTTGATGAGGACGGGCTGGTTGATTAAGACGGGCTGGTTGATGAGGACGGGCTGGTTGATGAGGACGGGCTGGTTGATGAGGACGGGCTGGTTGATGAGGACGGGCTGGTTGATGAGGACGGGCTGGTTGATGAGGACGGGCTGGTTGATGAGGACGGGCTGGTTGATGAGGACGGGCTGGTTGATTAAGACGGGCTGGTTGATGAGGACGGGCTGGTTGATTAAGACGGGCTGGTTGATGAGGACGGGCTGGTTGATGAGGACGGGCTGGTTGATGAGGACGGGCTGGTTGATGAGGACGGGCTGAATACAATTGATGACGTCCGAACATGTCTTCTATATTGCTTTCTTGTCTTCCTCTACGTACTGATTAAACTGATTACTACGTCTTCACGGACGGCCGCCGCTTTAACGAGGCCAGCCTCATGAACGGTTGCAATGTTTCGCCCACAATCTGCAAATAAAAATAATGAACCCATAATCAAAACAGTGACTAAGGGAAGAGTTGAAAACTCGCGAAACCGTCTACAGGTAACATGTAGGTATAATAGGGCCCTCTGAGTGTGTCCAGCTGGCATTGCTGTGATTGTTTTTTGCGTGCAGCCAAGTGATTGTTTTTTTGCGTGCAGCCAAGTGATTGTTTTTTTGCGTGCAGCCAAGTGATTGTTTTTTTGCGTGCAGCCAAGTGATTGTTTTTTTACGTGCAGCCAATTGATTGTTTTTTGCGTGCAGCCAAGTGATTGTTTTTACGTGCAGCCAAGTGATTGTTTTTTGCGTGCAGCCAAGTGATTGTTTTTACGTGCAGCCAAGTGATTGTTTTTTGCGTGCAGCCAAGTGATTGTTTTTACGTGCAGCCAAGTGATTGTTTTTTGCGTGCAGCCAAGAGTTTGTTTTTTGCGTGCAGCCAAGTGATTGTTTTTTACGTGCAGCCAAGTGATTACTTTATGCGTGCAGCCAAGTGATTGTTTTTTGCGTGCATTCAAGTGATTGTTTTTTACGTGCAGCCAAGTGATTACTTTTTACGTGCAGCCAAGTGATTACTTTTTACGTGCAGCCAAGTGATTACTTTATGCGTGCAGCCAAGTGATTATTTTATACGTGCAGCCAAGTGATTACTTTATGCGTGCAGCCAAGTGATTATTTTTATCACACTGTTCGATGATCTCCCATAAACCTCCTAACCCCCCATATATGTCTATTACTGATAGATTACGCAACACAGAGGTTGTGTAATCTTAACATGACGAGGGTTAATGTCGAAATTAGTACACAACTCAAGGGATGGGGGGGGGGGCCTATTAGACGACGAGATAACAGCAGGTGGGTGATTAGTGGTTAAAGCAACAATTAGCCAGAGTACTGCATGGTTGGTGGGTGGTGGGGGGGGGATTGTTTGGCTCCCACATGTGGCCACCCAGGATTTGGAGTGCCACGGGGGAGGGGGGAGAGGGGGGAAGGGGGAGAGGGGGAGGAGAGGGGAGAGGGGGGAGAGGGGAGGGGGAGAGGGGAGAAGAGGGGGGGAGGGGGGGGTAGGACCTCCTCCTCGTTCTGCTAGTACGGTAGTCTCGGGGGGGGGGGGGGGGGGGCGGGGGGTTTAATGACCCCTCATCTCAGTCAGGTGCTTCTTCGTCCATCAGACCTTAGGAATTGATGGAAAGGGGGTGGGGGGGGGAAGTGTTAGCTTTCCACACCTGTAGGCCTTCATCTCCGCTATCACCAACATCTTCGTTATCATCACCAGCATCTTCACCATCACCACCATCACCATCTTTCCCTCTTCCTCACTGTCACCACTAGTATCTTCACTGAGCTTCATATCATTCACTACCCCTAGTTACAAAACTCCATTCATTATTCATTTAACAGGCTGAATTGAATCACACATATTCCTTAACATTAACATGGATAAACATCATTTACAAATTAAAAAAAAATCTTATCCAGCTAATCCGAAGAGAGGAGAAAAAACGTTCCATCTTTGAATCGCAACACTGAAGAGCTGGAACAGAAAACTGGTGTCCATGATAACTAAAAAAAAGAACCTATTGGCTCTGTGAATACGAATCTTTATTGTAAAACATGAACCAAGACGAAGAAGGAATATTGTAACTTTAAAGATAGTGAGAAAAAGTAATACAGATGGAGATAAATTAAAATGTGACAGACTAGTTTACAGAGAGGTAGAGAGAATGAGCTAGAGAAAGAGGTAGAGAGAGGTAGAGCAGGGTAGAGAGGGAGAGGTAGAGACAAAGAGAGAGGGAGAGAAATGTAGAGGAGAGAGAGGGAGAAAGAGAGAGAGAGAGAAAGAGAGAGAGAGAGAAAGAGAGAGAGGAGAGAAAAAGAGAGAGAGAGAGAGAGAGAGAGAGAGAGAGAGAGAGAGAGAGACAGAGAGACAGAGAGAGAGAGACAGAGAGAGAGAGAGAGAGAGAGAGAGACAGAGAGAGAGAGAGACGCGAGGGAGAAGAGAGACAGAGAGAGAGAGAGAGAGAACAGAGCGAGGAGAGAAGAGAGAGAGAGAGAGAAGAGAGAGAGAGAGAGAGAGAGATAAGAGTAGAGGACGAGAGAGAGAGAAGAGAGACCGAGAGAGAGAGAGAGAGAGAAGAGAGAGAGAGAGAGAGAGAAATAGAGAGAGAGAGAGACAGAGAGAGAGAGAGACAGAGACAGAGAGAGAGAGAGACAGAGAGAGAGAGAAACAGAGAGAGACAGAGAGAGACACAGAGAGACAGAGAGAGAGAGAGAGAGAGACAGAAACAGAGACAGAGACAGAGAGACAGATAAAGGCTGAACGAACCCACCACGCTTCTTAGTCAAAGTCTGAGAGCGGTCAGGAAGTGGTTGCCGGGTAATGCTGGTGTACAGTTTTGTCAAATGTCTGGTTGTGTTGGTGGTGAATACAAGCGTCTCCGGCCGGGGTAATTGTGAACAGAACATTAAGCGATCCTTGCCATTCTCTGGGAGGAAGCCCCGAGAGAGTTAAGTGCTGGTCAAAGAAGAGGAAGAATGCCGATAGCAGGATAAAAAGTATCTTACTCTTTGGTTACAAATGAAAAGGTGTGCTTCAATTGAACCTATGAATGAATGATGAAGCAATTAAAGTAGGTCTTTCTCTCTCTCTCTCTCTCTCT